CCTTTTGACTGTGAGCCGCCCTGAGTCCCCTTCGGGGGGAAAGGGTGGCATAGAAATTTAATAAACTGAACTGAACTGAACTGAGTTCCCAGAGGGTAGCTCAAAGTTTACAATCATATGGAGTGATCCTAGTGAGCATTGCAAAGAGATCTGAAAGCCTGTTGGGTGAGCGGACTTCTGGGTGCACTTCTGGCACCTTCAGAAGCAAGAACCACGAGCTCAGTGGCCCTGCTTTGACCTCTTCTTGTTGGAGGACTCAAATTGAGCTATAGCCACTCTGGAGGAGTGGTGAAGTAAAGGGGGACCATCTGGCAAGTCGAGGAGAGCCGCATCTGATGGATTCAGAGACCAGTCATAGCAGGGTTCATCCAAAATGTCTGTCTGCCTTCGCAGAGTCTATTCTTTTTATACAGTTTTTACAAGCAAAGCATATAGCAACAGCATTATAATTAGCGTATTCTCCTTGTCAATCTTTTAAGAACATCCCAGCCAAGGTAGAGCCTCAGATATCTAGATTGTTCCCGGTATTGCCTGGTGCTGTTAATTAGGTGAGCTCATAGACATCTGAGGTAAACAGTTACTGAGGTCATGGCAGTTTGCTGCACATGCCTCTACGTAACCTTTCCTCTATCTCTACAGCATCTCTCCTCCCTGACTAGGAAAGTCCCCTCATCCGAAGACAAGGAGCAATGGTAGCAAACATAGCTGCCATGAAGCCCAGGAACAGCCTGAACACCTAAGACTGTACTGGAGTAGAGAAAGTGAGTGGTGTGTGAACTGGGTGAGAGAATACTTTTTATTGAAAAATGACCCCAAGGACTCTAAGGAGGAAGCATATTTAGAACCAATTGCCAGCGGCAAATAAACACATTAAAAAAATACCAGAGAAATTAAGAAGAGAAAATTAAAAATAAAATAAAATTGAACTCTCAAAGTAAAAAACGTGGTACCAAAAAGGCATTGCTAATGCTGGAATTAGATCCTGAGCTTTTTTTTAAATTAATTTTGCCCACTTATTGGATTTATAATTCAAAATAACCAAAATTGGAATTGTCAGCAATAATGCAGAGAGACTGTAACAAGTTTAAGCTAGAGTGCCATCTGCTGCTAAAAGGAGAACTGTGCAACCTTGGGAATAATCATTTATATTTGCTGGATTACAAGTATTTACTTTAAAACCACTGGAGATTTATATATCAAGTAAGAACTTTAGCCAAGAAACCCCTGAATATTGTTGAGCAAATGCAAGTGATTGGAAGAGTCATGGATAATCCCTTGGTTTTCTTTTTAAATTGGATTGACTCCTTTTTTATTTGATATTTAAAATTGTGATTTTAATAATTTCTGAATTTATTCAAAAGGAGATTCGTTAAACAAAGATGTAACACAAGATGGAAGCAAGTGGAGACAATGGAATGGAACTGGGTGTAATTCTAGAAAGTGTAATTCTAGAGCAATTTGATTTTAACACATATATAGTTGAGCTAATTAAGTTCATCTGATAAAGATATTTAAAAGTTGTCTTGCATCCAAGCTGAAATAGTGTTACATCATCTGCAAGTTTGTTTTTTAATAGAGAGAAGAGATCTTCAATTGACCTTGTGAGGTTTGAATGAAAAAAATGTCCTTATTTGTAAGTGTTTCATTTTTCCCGGGTTTATCTAAATTCTACCCATATTCTACTAATAGAACAGCACTAATAGAAACAGAAACCTTTCATATTGAGAAAAGGTTTAATGGTGTCAACTATAGCAATTTAATTATATAGCTAGACAACCATCTTTCTTAAGGGGGACAATCTTCCAGATGTCAGTATGCACGAATTTCTAATATATAACTAGATTCAAGATATGAAATAATCCTGAAATAATTAATTTTGGCTGATCTGGCATTACATTTTTAAAATGCTGATTAAATTAACCTATTTTCTGGGTGGACAAAATTCATTGGACTAATTAAACAATTCATACAACATGGAAAGGAAGAAGGGAAAATGTTCCTTGTATTTTCTTTTTTCTTGTTTATTTAATTGCTGCATTATTCTACTTTTCCTTTGTTTAAACATTTATTTTTTATTTTTTATGGTTGTGAGCCACCTAGAAGAGCTCCATGGAGAAATAAGTGGAAAATAAATGTAATAATAATAGCATACTTATCAGGTTTAGCATTGTTATCTGAATGCATCTGCTAAGTCTTTATCTAATATGCGAGTGTTCTATGGGAATACTATCAACATTATAAACTTAATATTTCAATATTGTATTAAACACATAAAATAAACTACCTTTTGGTAGTTCTATTTTTATACTTAAAGCAGTAATTAGGGCAAAGAAATTATGCCGAGTTGGTCATGCCTACCCAGTCACATGGTCACCTAGCGATGCCTACCGAACCATGTGTACTAGAAGGAAGGGAGCTTTTCTCTGTGTTTCTATATGTGTGTTTTGCTCTCTCAGTATTGATGGTCATTGTAACTAATGATGTTACCTAGTTGGGTCATGAAATGTCTGAAAGAAAAAAACAAAGCTTAGAGAGAACCAAGGACTCCACAGTGTTTCTCTTCCTCCTCTCCATCTTCCTCTTTTTCTTTCTCCCCACTCATTTGTCTTCCTTCTCTTCTTCCTCCCCCCTTTCCCGTCTCCCTCTCCCTGTCTCCCTTTCTCTCTGTCCCCCTCTCCTCTTCCTCCTCC